AAGCAATCCTGAAGCCATTTTGACTCTCCCAGTGACCTCAAAAATACCTCTGCAGTAAGGGAGGCAAATGGGGAAAGCCTTCCCATTGTCTTTTTGCTTACAAATCCTGTTCTAAGGGCATATTTGTGCATGACTAGGGTGAGCCTGTGACCTGTATTCAGGAACTAAAGTAAATGGCCACAAAAGAATGGCTTTGCTGCCCAGGTAATGCAATCAGTGACCATTATCAGGTATCCTGGCTGTAGATCGCCTCCTTCTGTGATGTATGTATGATGTTTGCGGGGTGGTGGTCTTGGGTACAGGGTGGGCAATTTCAAGAGTCTGTACAGTGGTACGTCAGGTTACAGACACTTCAGGTTACAGACGCTTCAGGTTACAGACTCCGCTAACCCAGAAATAGTACCTCGGGTTAAGAACTTTGTTTCAGGATGAGAACAGAAATCATGCAGTGGCGGCGCAGTGGCAGTGGGAGGCCCCATTAGCTAAAGTGGTGCTTCAGGTTAAGAACAGTTTCAGGTTAAGTACAGACCTCCGGAACGAATTAAGTACTTAACCCGAGGTACCACTGTATAAGAGCTTGCACACCACTGTTCAGGGTTCTCCTCCCTCTTGCATGTGGTGAGTGGGGACCCTATTGCAACAGTTTTCCTTCAATAAAGATAAGGCTTACTAGCTGCTTTGCTTCTCAATATACTCTGGTTGGCCTCTGTTATTTTCTCCAACCGATAGGGAACTCATGTAAGGACTGTGTACGAGCTCTGGAATACCCCATAAGGGAAAGGGGTAGTTTTTTCTTATAGCAAGAGGATGGTGTCTGGTCCTCCCTAGAGCCTTGGGAAAACTCCCTCTCAAAACCCATAACGACCAAACTGACAAATGTAGGGTGACATTTACGGACAGGCCGTGGTTCAGTGGTAGAGCAACTGCCTTGCATGCAGTGAGTCACAGGTTCGGTTCCCGGCATCCCTGGGTAGGATTGGAAAGCTCGCTGTCTGGAATCCCAGAAAGCTACTGTCATTCAGTGTAGTAGTAGTAGTAGTAGTAATAATAATAATAATAATATTTCTACCCTGCCCATCTGGCTGGGTTTCCCCAGCCACTCTGGGCGGCTTCCAACAAAAGAGGAGGAGGAGTTTGGATTTGATATCCCGCTTTATCACTACCCAAAGGCGTCTCAAAGTGGCTAACATTCTCCTTTCCCTTCCTGCTCCACAACAAACACTCTGTGAGGTGAGTGGGGCTGAGAGACTTCAGAGAAGTGTGACTGGCCCAAGGTCACCCAGCAGCTGCATGTGGAGGAGCGGAGACACGAACCCGGTTCCCCAGATTACGAGTCTACTGCTCTTAACCACTACACCACACTGATTAAAAATACATTAAAACATCAGTCATTAAAAACTTCCCTAAACAGGGCTGCCTTCAGATATCTTCTAAACGTCAGATAGTTGTTTATTTCTTTGACATCTGATGGGAGGGTGTTCCACAGGGCGGGAGCCAGTGTGGTGTAGTGGTTAAGAGCGGTAGTCTCGTAATCTGGGGAACCGGGTTCGCGTCTCCGCTCCTCCACATGCAGCTGCTGGGTGACCTTGGGCCAGTCACACTTCTCTGAAGTCTCTCAGCCCCACTCACCTCACAGAGTGTTTGTTGTGGGGGAGGAAGGGAAAGGAGAATGTTAGCCGCCTTGAGACTCCTGAAGGGGAGTGAAAGGCGGGATATCAAATCCAAACTCTTCTTCTTCTTCTACCAGAAGGCCCTCTGCCTGGTTCCCTGCAACTGCGCTTCTCGCAGTGAGGGAACCGTCAGAAGGCCCTCGGAGCTGGACCTCAATTAGCTGAGCTAGCTAGAGCAGTGTTTCCCAAACTTTTTGGGCAACGGCACACCTGTTTACTGAAAAAAAATCTCGCGGCACACCACCATTAAGCCCCGCCCCGTGACGTCAGCGCGCAGCGTCACGCCGGGAGGGACGCACGAAAGTGAAAGTTTTTTCCCTCCCCCTTGCCGGGAACCTCCAAGCTTTGGGGGTGGGAGGAGGCAGCAGAGCGAGGGACTGAGGGACGGCGGCAACTGAGGCGGCGGCGGCTGTGGTGGTGGTGCGGCGATAGCGGGCGGAGGAGGGGGCGGCGACGGGGCTTGAGGAGCCGTCGCCGGGAGTTGCTGCTGCTGTTGTTGCTGCTGCTGCCCGGACATGCCGGCCTCCTCCTCCTCCGCTGTCTCGCGCTCCTCCCTTTTGCACGCGCTGCCCGCCGCTCGGCACCACCACCGCGGAGCCGCCCCCGGCTCGACGCGGATCCTCGCCGCCGCCGCCTCTCACCGCCCGACTCGCCCGCCTCCTTCCCACGGCACACCAGCCAATGTCTCACGGCACAGTAGTGTGCCGCGGAACACCGGTTGGGAAACACTGAGCTAGAGAGAGAGAGAGCTTCCATGCACCAAGGCAATCTATCTGGCAGTACCAAATTCCAGGGGCAAAGCATGGGGAAGGGCGGCTGCCTTGATGCCCTGCTTCTGGGATTCCCAGGGGCATCTGGCTGTGCTCCTTTGTGGGCCGCATGCCAGCGGTGCATTGGTCCAGAGGCAAAGGTGGGTGGAGAGACAGGTGTGACTCTACATTAGCCTACATTCCAGCCATCCCAAAGCCACGGGTTTCTACATGCACACACTGGTCTCTCCATCCTGCATCCGGGCAAGCAAGAGGCATTATCACAGCTCAAAGGCAGATTCCCACCAGGTAAAAACACTTGAAAAGTAGGAGTGGCGAGAGGTGCAGCTTTGGGAGAGGTGGGGTGTATTTGTCCTCTTCCCATTGGCAGCTGGGTAGTGTCACTCGCCCTGTGGAACGCCCTCCCATCGGAGGTTTAGAAGACATCTGAAGGCAGCCCTGTTTAGGGAAGTTTTTAATGACTGATGTTTTAATGTACTTTTCATCTTTTGTTGGAAGCCGCCCAGAGTGGCTGGGGAAACCCATCCAGAAGGGTGGGGTATAGATTATTTATTGTTGTTGTTGTTGTTGTTGTTAATTTATTCACCCCATCCCCCAGAAGATGGACCTGGCCTCCTTTGGATTTGCATTCAGCAATCTGAGTTGATCGAAACCAGATGCTAAAACAAGACTTCGCTCTTTTTAACTGTTTTGAAAACGTTTGTTTTTTTAAGCCACAAAGCAACAACCCTTAGTCTGCTCAAAATGAAAGACGACAGCTTGTCTGGGGCTGCCAGCTTCGTTTTGTATTTTCATTTCCAAAAAAAAGAAAAAAAGAACCAAGGTACATAGGCTGGGCTAGTTTGCATGCCCGAATGCCACAGTGTTAGCTTAGCAAGCTGCAACAGATGTTCCTTTGCCTCGCCAAAAGATATGGAACGTTGGATCTAAAGGGGATTGTTGAAGCAATAAATAAAAGTATATGAAAGCCCTATAGCGGATTGGTTGACAAAGACCTGTGCGTGAGAACTTTTGAGATTCTCAGTGGTTCACGAATTCCCAGTGATACGTCTGCCTTCGTTTCTTCCAAGAAATCCCTCGCTTGCTTCCATTGTGCAGGAGCATGTGAAAATTGCAGTGTGTCTCATGCATGAATTTATTTTCAGGTTTCTAGGCCTTATGACTGCAACCTTTAGAAAAAAACTTCTTTAAACCACAGATGTTACAGAAATCTATTTCTTCCCAGCCTTCTCAAAGTACATACTGCCAGAAATGGTATGATAAGACTGGAGTCAGAGTAGAGAGACCCTTTTTCAGTAAGAAATAAGCGCAGCTCATTTTTCTTCCAAGCTTGCTGCTGCAGTGGGCCCCGTCCTTTGTCAGATTCGCTCAGCTAGTCTGTGCAATTGCCAAAGGCTTACGCGGCTATGTTTTATATAAATTTAGTGAAATAAATAAATAGGCTACATTGAAGTGGTGCAAAAGTACAGGGTCTTCCCACACACCCCTCTTTGTTCCAAGCAAGCAAGTGGAATTTTCACTGTATAAATGCACATTTGAGGGAGGTACAGGGACGCGGGTGGCGCTGTGGGTTAAACCACAGAGCCTAGGACTTGCTGATCAGAAGGTCGGCAGTTTGAATTCCCGCAACGAGGTGAGCTCCCGTTGCTCGGTCCCTGCTCCTGCCAACCTAGCAGGTTGAAAGCACGCCAAAGTGCAAGTAGATAAATAGGTACCACTCCAGTGGGAAGGTAAACGACATTTCCGTGCGCTGCTCTGGTTCACCAGAAGCGGCTTAGTCATGCTGGCCACATGACCCGGAAGCTGTACGCCGGCTCCCTCGGCCAATAAAGCGAGATGAGTGCCCCAACCCCAGAGTTGGTCATGACTGGACCTAATGGTCAGGGGTCCCTTTACCTTTACAGGGTGTGGCCTGGGGAGGGTTTTGAGGGCCACATAACAAGGCCTGGAGGGCCACATCTCCCCCCAAGGCCTCAGATTCCCCACCCCTGGACTAGGAGCTGGGAGATCTGGGTTCAGGTCCCTCAGCAAGTGACTTTGAGCCAAACATTTCCTCTCAGCCAAATCTACCTCCCAGGGTTGTTGTTGGGGGGGGGGAGGAGCGGGAAGGGGGAGAACCAGGTGCACCACTTCAAACTCCTTGAAGGAAATAATTATATCCTTGTGCAGTGGGGGATATAAAAATAAAAATAATATAATATAAAGAAGAATAAAAGCTTGTGTGTGTGTCGTGTGAAGGCAATTTTGATTTGTCTGTCTGTCTATCTGAGCAATGGATGAAGGTGGAAGCAAAAAAGTTATTCTATAGGAGTGTCTTTCTTGAGAGTCTGCATTAGGTATGTACGCGTTAGTACAATGGTACCTATACAACCTTGTGTGTTGTATAGATACCATGATATGTACAGAATTGTATTGTTTATGTTCTGTGTTTTAAGCCACCCGGTGGTCTTTTGAAAAAAAAAGGTGGTATATAAATTTAATTAAAAGATCACCATCATTTCACAGTAAGCACCCCTTTCCAAAGCTCTGAACCACTTTCCCTCCTTGTCTTTTGGTACAGCATTCTCTTCCTCTAGTCTAGAGCAACCCTCCCCTCGCAAAGATGCTGATTCTCCTCGCCTTCATCATCGTCTTCCACATCAGCTCGGCTGCCCTTCTGTTCATCGCCACGATTGACAGCGTAAGTTGCCCGCCAACAGCATTTATTTTACTTTATTCAGGGGGGGGGGGTGTTTGTGTGCCTGGTGTTCAAAGATTAAAAGAAAGTCTTCGAAATGGAAGTGAAAAAAGACTCCACAAATTGAAAGTGGAGACACTCTTATGTATTTTACTGGAGGGGCTGGACGTTTTGAACCTGTTGCCACCATTGCCCTCCCTGACGTTGGCCTTTGGCTGCTTTCAGCCTCCTCTGGAGTAAGGATATGGCAGCCAGCCATCTAGCCTGGTAAGAGGACCGTTCCCCTCTGAGCTGCATATAAGCCAGGCTCCTTGGAGTGCAGGAAGTGTATTGATCGTTTTGATGGATGGTTTCTGATATTTAGAACTTGGCACTCCAGATGTTTTGGGACTACAACTCCCATCATCCCTTGCTAACAGGACCAGTGGTCAGGGGCGATGGGAATTGTAGTTCCAAAAACATCTGGAGGGCCAAGTTTGGCCATGCCTGGCTTAACTGAACTGTAATAATCATTTCAATGAATTTGTTATTTGCTTTATTTATGCACTATGGTACTTGGTGGTATAGTGACTGCTTCTTAAATGCTATTGTGATTCTTGTGAGCCGGCTGCCCTGAGCTCAGCATTTGCCATTGGAAAAGCGGAATACAAATGTTAAATCAAATCAAATTGGGAAGACCAGCACCAGAAACTTTATTGTCAGTTAACTCTGGTTTTACTTAAACCTAGACTTTTTTTGGGGGGGGCGGAGTAATATTGATTTTTTTCTGTGTTTGTCAGGTTTTTGTCATTTTTCAATTTAGCAACATGCTCTGTTTGTATTTTGATGTTTTGAAATGTCTGCTGGAAGCCACTTTGGGCACAGCTGATTGTGGAAAACTGACATCAAAGTGAAATCGACCGATCAGTCCTCCAAGATCTATACTTTCATGTGCTTTTAAAAATCATCCTTCTCCAGGCCTGGTGGGTCGGGGAGGACTTCTCCACAGACGTCTGGCATCGCTGCCTCAATGGCACTAACTGTACAGCCCTGGACGAGACCTTCCCAGGTGAGTCATCTATGCTTCAAATCTATGCTTCCAGGTGTCATAAGAAAGCTGTAGAGATAGTGCAGCATAGTGCACACCCCGGAAATGATCTCTTCCAGCTTCTGCCTTCTGGAAGAAGGTACAGGGTTATAAAGACTAGGACTAGCCACTTGAGAAACAGTTTCTATCCAAATGCAATTTTGGTTTTAAACGCTGTGTAAGGTAGTCTCTATGGGAGTATATTGTATTTAATTATGGGGTATCAGAGTTTTGGGGGGGCTAACCAGGTTGGGATAGCTGGGATAGCAGGCTTGTTGGTTTTTGAATGTCTGATGTAGATTTTTTCAATTTCGTTGTTCTGTATGGGACAATGATAATAAAGATTATCGTATCATATCGTATCAGACGGCTCTTCGTGCATCTCAGGGTGGGATTACTTTGTCCCCCTCCCCCCATCAATGTCTTCCCAGGAGAGTGTATTTTTTTTATATAAAAAATGTGACATCATCACAATAATATTTCCCCATGCACTTCTCTTCTTCATTGGCTGGGAAATGTGATGACATCATGGCATGCAGAATGGGTGTTGGCGAATCTCTTTTAAGGATGTTCCTGAGTAGGGTTGCCATATGCCCGGATTTTCCTGGACATGTCCTCGTTTTGGGGGGTAAAAATTTGGTTCCTGGTTTTTTTTGCTTGGCTCCTAAAAAGAACTACATTTCCCATGGGGCCTCTGTGGTGAAGCCGACCCTGTGATTGGATGCAGGCAGTTCCAATCTCGCTGCCCATTGGCTGTCCCGGATGCTGCGTCCAATGCCAGAAGAGGGAGGAGGTAGAAAGCGACGATGGTAGCCGAGACGGAGAGTGGGGAGGGCATGCAGATGAGGATGGAGGTTGAGAGGCCGGGCCATAGTGTGCAGTGTCCTAATCTGGGTCGTGGCCGGGAGAAGCTTGCTTCAGCTGTTGCACAGCGGCTGCAGTTCAGGAGCCGTTGGGTGTTGGCGTTACGCAGGAGCTGGGCACTGTGGAAGAGGCTCGCTGTGCATTGGCAGGGAACCTACTTATGGGGTGATGGGTATAGTTGGGTGCCAGCCACGTGGGCCCCCTTTGGTGCTGTGCCCTTGCCACGGCTGCCGGCCATGTACCACAGTAGCAATTAGCAGCAGCGCTGGAGACCTTGCCTAAGAAATGCTCTCCTGTGAATAAATCTTACAGTAAAACTTTCTCCTTCTGATCAAGAAACTAGTAGATCATGGGTAGGCAAACGAAGGCCTGGGGCCGGATCAGGCCCAATCGCCTTCTAAATCCGGCCCGCAGATGGTCCGGGAACTAGTGTGTTTTTACATGAGTAGAATGTGTTCTTTTATTAAAAATGCATCTCTGAGTTATTTGTGGGGCATAGGAATTCGTTCATCCCCCCCCCCCAAAATATAGTCTGGCCCCCCACAAGGTCTTAGGGACAGTGGACCAGCCCCTGCTGAAAAAGTTTGCTGACCCCTGTAGTAGATAATACACCAGTTCTTTCTAGGTTGCTTAAGCACAGAGTAGTAGCTCATTTTGTAGATACAGGTGAACCAGATTATACATGGCTAGCTGGTAGAACCATTATGCTAAGAATAAAATACGACGCAAGCATCCATCTCAAAGCTTGCTTTTCAAAACAAGAATGATATAGTCATATGACTTTTTTTAAAAAAAGATTATGCTCAGCAATTTTTATATTAATTGGCAACTAGTTTAAACAGTGAAATATACTGTATTTTTCGCCCTATAGGACGCACTTTTCCCCCTCAAAAAATGAAGGGGAAATCTGGGTGCGTCCTATGGGGCGAATGCAGGCTTTCGCTGAAGCTTGGAGAGCGAGAGGGGTCGGTGCGCACCGACCCCTCTCGCTCTCCAGGCTTCAGGAAGACATCCGCAGCCTAGGCAGCCCTGCGGGAGGTCCTGCAGGGCTGTCTAGGCTGCGGATAGCAGCCTGCCGCCCGGCGGGCAGAACGCCCTGAAGCAGAGTGCCCCTCGCGCCGGGCATACTTCCGCAGCGTGGGGAGCCCTGCAGGAGTTCCCCGCAGGGCTCCCCACGCTGCGGATAGCAGCCTGCCGCCCGGCGAGTGGGGCGCCCTCAAGCAGAGTGCCCCGCCCGCCAGGCAGACATCGGCCAGCCCCACAAGCTGAGGGGACAGCAGGGAGGCGCAGTGCCACCATCCCGCTGTTCCTCGACCTGGTTCGGTTTCCCCAACCTGCTTTTGGGGGGGAAATAAAGGGGGGGGAAATTTCCTTTATTTCCCCCCCAAAAAACTAGGTGCGTCCTATGGGACGGAGCATCCTATGGGACGAAAAATACGGTAGGTGTGCAAGGCAGGAGGTGGTGGTTGGGAAGTTAAGAGCTGTTTGACAGTGGAAGACAGAGACAGACTCCCATGAGAGGTGGTAGACTCTCCTTCCTTGGAGGTTTTGAAGCAGAGGTTAGATGCCCACCTATCATGTATGCTCTAGTTGAGATTCCTGCAATTGAAGGGGGTTGGACTGAATGACCCTCGGGGTCCCCTTCAACTCTACAATTCTCTGATTCTAATGCCTCTACCTGCCCTGGTTGCATCTCGTAGTTAATCCCCTGATTTTGCTGATGTCTGAAGAACAACAGAAGGAAGGGCAGGGCTGGCTGGCGCAGCCAGACTCTGAAAAGTTCCTCTTTGTGGAAGCTGCATTTATTTGGGGAGCAGGAGGGCGGGAGGAAATGGATTCAGGAGAGTTGGCAAGAGGCTGACACCTTTTCTTATTGTCACTCTGCGCAAGCAGTGGCGGGAGGAAGTCGCTGGCAGGATGCAGGTGGGTTCCAAGAAGGAAAAATTAATGGGATGATTATTTTTTTATATAATATAATTTTTATTTTTTTAAAAAAACAACCAGCCCAGAAATTAAATGTGACTGTCAAAACCTCAGAAAACAAACTTCCCTTTGGGAAGCACTGAGACGGTGCAGGGACTAGACTGCTAGCGTGGGAAGGCAACCGTCAAGAGGTGCTTTGCAGATGTATTTTGAACCACTGACTACAGCGTCCAAGGATGACTATCAAAGATCTGACCCAGCAACATTGGTTTGGGAGGGGTGTGGCAGCATATAAAAATCCATAGAGACCTTCTGGCTGTTCCTTCGTTGAGAGAAGTGAGGTTACAGGGAACCAGGCACGGGGCCTTCTCGGTGGTGGCACCCACCCTGTGGAACACCCTCCCGTCAGATGTCAAGGAAAGAAACAACTATCTGACTTTTAGAAGACAGCTGATGGCAGCCCTGTTTAGGGAAGTTTTTAATGTTTGATGTTTTATTGTCTTTTTAATCTTTTGTTGGAAGCTGCCCAGTGGCTGGGGAAACCCAGTCAGCAGATGGGTGGCATATAAATAATAAATTGCTCTTAATAATAATAATAATTTATTATTTGTACCCCGCCCATCTGGCTGGGTCTCCCCAGCCACTCTGGGCGGCTTCCAGCAAAGATTAAAAATACATTAAAATGTCACACATTAAAAACTTCCCTGAACAGGGCTGCATTCAGATGTCTTCTGAATGTCAGGTGATTGTTTATCTCTTTGACATCTGATGGGAGGGCGTTCCACAGGGCGGGTGCCACTACCGAGAAGGCCCTCTGCCTGGTTCCCTGTAGCTTTGCTTCTCGCAGTGAGAAGCAATCCCAATCCTCTCCTACCTGCTTAAATTCAGATGAGGGATTGACACTGGCTGTCTCCCCCTTAAGTCCTAGGGTTGTCCTTGTAGAACTCGTAGAATCCTAAGAGCTGGAAGGGACCACAAGGGTCATCTAAGTCCAACCCGCTGCAATGCAGGAATCTTCCTAAATGCACTGTAACTGCTACTTCTCCCCACGTGTTTTACAGACTACCGGTCTATCCAGGCAATTCAGGCGACGATGATCCTCTCCACCATCCTCTGCTGTGTGGCCTTTTTTGTTTTCATCCTCCAGCTGTTCCGCCTAAAGCAAGGCGAGAGATTCGTCTTAACATCCATCATCCAGCTGCTATCCTGTGAGTACCTCCTCCCGGTTAAAGGATGTGCAGCGGCCCCTCTCACAAAAGAGCATGGAGTCGTGACAAGGAGCTGTCACACTGAGCCATTGCACCACAAGACAGCACAAAGAGTCTGGGGAGGGTGCTCCCCATCTCTTCTCCCAATTAACCTCCGTCTCCAGGGCCCACCCCATGACACCACAGGCGCCATCCCCGTGGCATCACCAGGGGCTGCCCTTGGGTTGCATCCCAGACCCTGAGATTTTTGGGGCCAGACCTGAGACCTACCATATTTTTCGCTCTATAGGATGCACTTCCCCCCTCCAAAAAGGAAGGGGAAATGTGTATGCGTCCTATGGGGTGAATGCAGGCTTTCGCTGAAGCCTGGAGAGCGAGAGGGGTCGGTGCGCATCGACCCCTCTCGCTCTCCAGGCTTCGTGCAGATCTCTGCAAGCCGTGGGAGCCCGCGCCAGGCTCCCACGGCTTGCAGAGAGTTGCCTGCATGCCGAAGGCTGGGCGCGCTGAGCTCAGCGCACAGCTCTCCGCAAGGCGCGGGAGCCCAGTGCTTGCGGAGAGTTGCCTGTTCTGGGGGCTGGGGTCGGGGGAAGCCAGGCTTCCCCCGCCCCAGCCCTGCGCCTGGGGAAAAAATAATCCCCCCCCTTTTATTCCCCCCCCAAAAAACTAGGTGCGCCTTATGGGACGATGCGTCCTATAGGGTGAAAAATACGGTAACTCTCCCTTATCCAGGCACTGATTAGACCCAGACCACCTTGACAGCAAGCTGGTTTCGTGGATGCTTAGTGCTTCTTTCTGATTTCTTAGAGATCTTTTCAGTCTTAACTTGCCGAGAACACCAGGAGGCTGGTTCTGGGCAGGTCTACCCTCAGCCCATTCACAGGCTTTCCCCTTTCTCTCCCTTCCCAGGTCTGTGCGTGATGATTGCCGCGTCCATTTACACGGACCGCCACGAGGAGTTTCACGTGGGTCCGCAGTACGACTTTTTCCAGGTGTCCAGCGGGCAGTACGGCTACTCCTATGTCCTGGCGTGGGTCGCCTTCTCTTTCACGTTGCTCAGTGGAATCATGTACCTAATACTAAGGAAGCGTAAATAAAACTGCAGCGGCTAGTTGGAGGAGGAAGAGAGAGAAAAGGAAACGGTCTGTCCGTTTCGCAGTACTGGGAGTCCAGTAACTATTTTGTATATAGCAGAAGAGCGGTTTTGTAGTAAGGAAAAGTTATTGTCTGTATTTTTTGTCCTGCCACGGCCCCCTTCCTCCTCCTTCTCCCTGCTTGGTGTTGAAACAAGGACTATGGGAGGGGGAAAATGCAGGTGAACTGGAACAGCTAACCCCCCCTGGCGTGGGTGGGGTACCTTAAAGGCAACCCATGTCTATGGTAGTCTCCCAAAAGTCATTGATTGTACCTATTCTTGTTTCCTTTTCTTATACAGCTTTCAAAACAGGTAATGTTACTAGGCATTAATAAAAAGAGCATCCCTCCCCCCAGCTGGTTATGGCTCTGTAGGACAGATGTGAACAGCTGGCAGAGCACAGCAAACATTATTCTGTCGCTAGCAACATGTGCTCAACTGGACGTCTGGGTTTCTTTTGAGAAATAGGAATTGGGGGTGGGGGTTCTAGACTGCCCTTGGCCACAGAATAATTCTGTGGATCTGGGAGATAATCCTGCAGCCAGTAGTTCCTCCAGTGATTGAATGCCAGCCTAGGAGGTTCTTTCTAAAAAGCAATGGTTTGGTGTGATGCTGGCAAGCTCAACGCTATGGTTCTGGGCTGATTTCAAGGGTCCATTTGGTTTGGCGCAGTGCCCGTGTGGTTAATGGTCATGGCAGGGGGCGGCAGAACAGGGGTACAGCCTGCTCTAAATCCAGCTTGGATACATCTGCCCATGCCATGCTTCAAAATAATTCCAGCTGGGAGTGTCTTAAGTTATTGCTACGGAAGATAGTGTTCTGCTGCGATGGGTATGTAGTGAAGAGCCCTGAAAGGTTCAGAGACCATTACTTGCCTAAGGCTGAAACAATTGCTTTGGGACCGATCCTCTTCCTGCTGAACCATGTATCCAGAGCTACCTCAAGCCGCCGCAAAGATGGTCACTGCCTTGATCGACATCCAGAGAGGCACTTTCCCAAGCCCACCACCTCTCAGCTTGTTTCTGCGGCAACAGTCCAACCGTGCCTTCATCTTTACTATTTCTCTGCGTTTTGGAAGAATTTAAATGGAAAGGCGGTCTTGTCTTTGAGAAGGCACTCAATCCCTCCACTCAAAAGGGATCCTAGGTAGCAGGGCTGTGGAAGGGCCTTTTCCTTGCGTGGATCATGGCGAGCTGTCAGCATAGTGGCCGTCAGAAAACAAATAACATCGCCAAGTTGTTGGGGGCTGGCAAAAATCATTTGGGGGACCAGATATGGCCCGTAGGATTGCCATCCCTGCTGTAGGCAATATTAGGCTTAGGCAAACCAAAATTCATGATTCAGAAGAAAGCACTGGGCACCCAGCTTGACGGCATTTTAGCAGGAAAATGTCAGTGCTAAAGCACAGCTTCCCTACTTTGAGGTAAATACAGCAGGCAGGAAGACTCAATTTTTATTTTTACAACCAGGAAAGAGCCACCCAACACTAATGTATTATTCCAGAAGAGTTTGGGATTCCTGATTGCCCCAGATCACGGCTTCAACCAACCAACGAACGAGCCAGTATTTGGCTAACTATCTGGCATATTTGTTGGAAAATATATCAGGTCTTTCCAATCTGTCTGACAAATTTACCCACTAACAAGTCACCTGGTTTTCAAAACCCCAGAGGCTCTTATTATTAGCAGGTGCAGAAACCTAGAATAACCTCAGGCTGCTCTTAAGGGTTCCATATTTCACCCAGGAGCCTTGTTCGTATAGCTACAAATGTCTGACCTTCTTAACAACAACAAAGATGGCTTTATAGGGCATTAGAAGATATTAATGGAAAAGGACGACCCATCGATCACTAAGGCTGCAAAATCCTTCTCTCTGTTCCTAGGGTATCAGTCCCGTTAAACTCAACAGGGACTTTCTTCTGAGTAAGCATGCTTAGGATTTCTCTGTCTGCAGGGCTGTCAGCTGATCTGCATCCTCTTACTTGAACATCAGCTGCCTTTGGAATCATGCTGCCATCCAGTTTAAATTAAATGTGCGTGTAGCTCATTTGATCTCTCAATACGAGGGACCTTTTTGAGATTTCGGAGAATGTGCAAGAATGCAGCTATTTAACAGACAACCATTGTGAGGAGTGTGGAAGGGCATTTTTTAGTGGGAGCGCTTTTTGTGTGTGTTTTCTTTTGCATCTTTGTATGGCCACTTCCCCTCTGTAATCCCCCTTTCATCTCTGAAAATGGTGCTCCAGAAAACCTGTCCTTACTATTGGCATTTTTAAAAAGGTATACCCAACTTGAAATGTTAGCATAAACTTTGAGGGGGTGGGGGGTGGGAGGGTTTTAGATCCTGCATACAAAAACATTTGGCCAAATCGATGAACTGGTGACAACTCATTTTAAGGAAATCAGGCCAAGTTAAAAGGCCAAGCTGATGATCCCAGCTCCTCCAGGAATCACTTTTATGCTCCTTTATGGAACATAGAACCATGCTTTTTGTGTGCCTGAAGTGATGGTGTATAGAGAGAAACCTCGTGACTTTTGCATGGTTGGGATAGACTGTGCAAAGAGAACCAGATCTGTTGCTCCACCCACCATTGGCATAAAGCCACTGAAAGGTTGCCCACACTCTGTTGCCGTTTCTTCCCCCTCCGCGCGATCCTAGATTTATTGCACCCTATTCCTGCACCATCCTCCCAAATCCCCAGACATTCCGCATGCAGCCATACATACATTGTATACAAGAATCTGCGCCACCATTTATTCTCTGTTCTAAAGAATGAACTAGTCTGACCAGGTGTGTTTTTTATATAGATAGAATTTGTATTTATGTAAAAAAACAAACAAAAAAAATGTACCTGTACATACATAGATAACATTATGCCAATTATATTTTCTGACCACTTTAATAGAAATTTGAATTGCAAATCAATATATAACCAGAGAATACAAAAAACCCCAATTCTGACAATGCTATTATTGCCTTTGCAACTCGCCTGGGAATAATAGGCACTCCTTTGTACGTTAGTACTACCATTTTTCAAGTTCTGGGGTTGGGGGAGAAATTGAGAAATCCAAAAATGCTTGGCGGAGGACAGTGATCGTCAAGACTGCTAGCTTAGCTCTACCGACTGTGCCTCTGTTGTTTTGTATTTTATATACCATCTGTGTACACAGAAATAAAAGTTACAACCAGTATTGTGCCGATACCGTGTTGCAGTTTGGTTTCTTGACAGCATCTGCCTAAACGCTGAAGGGAAGCCCAGCTTTTTAAAAGAGATGCTAGACATTAAGATGAAGAGGTAGGAGTGGGCGGGATTGGACCACTAAGGCACACAAACGCCTGCTGAGTTCAACCAAGCGTTCTGAGACTAGCAACTTTCATTTCGTTCTCAAGCAGCCTTCTAGCCCGAAGGACTGGGAAGACAGGCTTGAAAGCAGCGCCTGACTGGATACTCGGAGGTAGAAGGCATGCCACTTTGTGCGTCTTCAGAATTTCAAGTGTTCAAAGGCTTTAATTGCTTTGCCTTCTTTCCCCATGACTAACAAAAGCAAAAAATAATATGTGCACTAAGCAGCTAGAGGTTTAACTGGATGAATCAGTTAACATGAATCAGGTGACAAAGATACCGGCTTTCTTTGTGACAGGGTCCCACGAGGAAAGTTGCCACCGGTGACCATGAATTTTAGCTCTGGCGACCAGCAGGGCTTATACACTACAGGTATAATTTGATTTTTTTAAAAAAGCCACCAGGAATGCAGATCAGATATGGCTGGAGAGTTTTCCACATCTAGAAGTTCAGAGGAGGAACTGGTGACCCTAACTAAGCTGTAGTAGGTCTGCGAGCTGCAAAATTGGGAGGGGGGTATTTTTGCCTTCTTTGTAGTGCATGTGGCTTTGGAGCATCACAAATGGCTTTTGAAACCTGCCCTTCAGGCAAGGCCAAGTTTCTAATTTATAAAGCAAAAGGAACCAACTTCCACGTCTGCTAAAGGCACACTAAAGGTGACGTGGGAGAGAGACCTGGAAGAGGCCATAGATGAGGACATTATGGGTGCAATTATGAATCTCTTTCTGCCAAGATATGTGAAAATACATTGAAGGGAGCAGGGGCGTCAACCTGCCCCCCACATTGGGGGGGCGCATCACATGGCGCGTCCGCTCCCAAATAGCGTGCTGGGCCGGGACACACTGGAGTCCCGCCCCCGCTGCTGTGATGCCAGCGCTCAAATGGCTGCCTTCTCCCTACACAGCATTGGGCAGGAAGAGGCAGAGCGCAGCCCCCAGGATCCACGCTCCGCCTCCTATCCACGCAATATCGGGCGAGGAGGGGGAGCGGACCACAGGGTTTTGGGGGGCTGAAGACTCCTTGGTTGTTTTTTTTGGGGGGGGGAAGCTGAAGACTCCTCAGCCCCCACTACCCGGCACGCCTGCAAGGGAGACCGTTTTGGTGGTCTGAGCTTATAGGAACTGTAACAGGGGAAAGGGGCCGAAGCAGTCCAGATGCTGTTGAACTACAAGTCCTATCAGCCCCAGCCAGTATGGTGAACAGGCCAGGATGATGGGAGTTGTAGTGTAACAGCAGCAGCAAAGCCAAAGGTCCCTTTCTCTCTCCCCTCCAAAATCTAAAATGTTAAGGGCGCCCCTCGCAGAAAGGCAAGAGGTCAACGGGAAGTCTCAGAAGTGAGGTGTCAAACCTTACGGTAACTGTAATCCTGAAACTGGCGCCAGCCATAGGCAGCATAGAGAGAAGAGGGACACATAAAGTAGACGTCCTGTAGGAGCCTAGATCCCCCCTCACAGGAGCTACGTCATCGAAATGGCATGAATGTCACTAAAGGGTCCATAACGTCCATAAATGTCCTTTGACTGGATGGTAAAGTAACACTTGGAGCAATCAGCAATCTGGGCTAACGAGCAACCCATGGGGAGAGGCATGGCCTTAATTTCCCGCACCCTAAGCCAGCTGGTCGGCGCACCTTTACCGACGAGCTCCAGGCAAACGAACAAGTGGAAGCTGTCTAGAGGAGCACACCATGGTTCCACCTTTCTGACCTCCCACCGCAGGCCAAAGCCTTTGGGCTTCTCCACCTGAACCACAGTGAGGTGCAGCTTTTGAGGTGGACGGGTATATCTGAATCTGGACAGGCTCTCCAGCTGCTGCTCAACCTGCGGTAACGGAGGGAGGTGCCGAAACGCTTCAGGGACCTGTGGAGAAAGCAGGAGCTTCGGTTAACAGGGCGGCTAAAAAGGGCCGGAACAATCCATTTCAGCTCAACCATTTACATGTCTGACTAAAGGGACTTCCGTGCAGAAGAAGAAGAAGAAGGAAGAAGAGTTTGGATTTGATATCCCGCCTTTCACTCCCCTTTCAGGAGTCTCAAAGCGGCTAACATTCTCCTTTCCCTTCCTCCCCCACAACAAACACTCTGTGAGGTGAGTGGGGCTGAGAGACTTCAGAGAAGTGTGACTGGCCCAAGGTCACCCAGCAGCTGCATGTGGAGGAGCGGGGAATCGAACCCGGTTCACCAGATTACGAGACTACTACTCTTAACCACTACACCACACTGGCTCTCAGAGAAAGGAAGTACGGGCTTTCCCACTTAAGAGCAGACCCACTGAAATGAATGGTCATGACTAAAGTGGTTCCATTAATTTCAATGGTTCTACTCTGTGTAGGACTGGAACTGGCGACAACCCTGTGTATGTCTCACGCACAAAAAACGAGGCTACTCTCCTTGCTTGCATTGCTTATATATTACTCATTTAAAGTATTAACAGCAAGCTCTTCATCGGATGCTTTCAACCCCAGAGCAGGAAACAAAGTAACAGAAATAAATGGAGGAAAATATACAAAAATTACAAAAACATATAAATAGAACCAGCAAACAATTAAGCAAATCTGTCATACAGCAAACAAGCAAAATCACAACAATGTAAATTTACATTTCCAATTGCTCACCCACCTGCCACCACTTTGAGGGTTTTTTTCTACAATCAAGCAGTACAGAAATTTTATGAAATAAGACGAATAATCAAGACCACATGCAAAGCTAAATCACCAGCTTAGGCAAGGAGTATGTCCAACACCCCCCCCCCGCAAGCTGCCGGACACTTAGCAGATCCACATGTCTCCATGAGAAAAATCATTATTTGTTAAGTGGCTACAGCAACAAGAATCCCACAGGGAATGTTGCATTATGAAACACATGCTGTTTTCCTTCCTAGAATTCTTAACGGTGAAATACTGAAGGCACAAATGCAGACAATTCCAACAGGAAAGGAAAGTGGGCATCTACAGAAACCAGTGGGGCTGCATAAGGAACTTACAGATGAGCCGAGATTTAAGAAGGGGATGCATACGAAATGGAGGAAAGGGGAAATCACAAAGGAGTAAACATGAGTGGCCGAAAGTTGCGTGGTGAACGTCAGGCTGGCTAAAACTCAGAATTGAGTTCAGGCTTGCAAGAGAGGTTAAAAATAAAAAAAAGGTTTCTTTGGCCACTGAACTGCGGATTCTTGTTGCTATGTCACTGCTTTTACTTTGCAGTATCATAATCTTATACGCATTATTCTCCGCTGCCACCAAGGTCCATTAGTAAACAATGAATGGATGCGGGTTGCAGATAAACATCAGGCAAGCTTTGCCATTTCACAAGCTTGGTAAAGGCAAATCACCACAATTTTTCCCTAGTTCAAAATTTTCTAAAAAGCCCCTGACTCTGGCATAGCAGGAAAAGACACAACTAGCTTGATGCTCCTGTCTTCCCACACCTAAACTTCTCCATAACGCAAAACTATTAAGAGACAACGTTCAAAGCGAAACCCCTCTCTCCACAGAGCACAGAGCATGTTTGATTCGTGCTCCCTGTGTTGCCAAACTGGCGTTATTCTGATCTGCGAACCCCAATTACATCAGGTGTGCGAAACCTGTGTCCGTTCAGCTGTTCTCAAACTACTGCTCCCACTATCCTTGACCACTGGCTGTGCTGATGGGATCTGGAGTCCAATTACATGTGGTTTCCCAGCCTTGAACTAAAAGCAGTTTCCCAAACTTAGGTCTCCAGCTGTTTTTTGGACTACAAATCCCAGCTAGCAGGACCAGTGGTCAGGGAAGATGGAGTGTAGTCCGAAAACAGCTGGAGACCCAAGTTTGGGAAACCCTGAACTGAAGAAACGCCAAGTGCTGTAGCATTCCTGTCGCTGGGGCTAAGAGATGTGCAGCTTATATTACAAGATGGCCCTCTAGTGGCTAAGAGGATGAAGCTCATCCTTCGGTATGGCTTGGGTGGAATGCTTCTCTGCCATCAGCGCCTGACAAATTCTTGTTGATATTTCAGATCCGACTGTGTGCTGAAATCAGATATGGTGTTGGGACTCACCTATGGGGACAAGGGGGGGGGGGGGCCCTCCTTAACAGCAGAGTTTAATGCCAGCAAAGTGGCGTACCTACCCACCCGATTGGAAACTGTCTAATTCTGTGCCAGCTTATTTGTCCATCCAAGCTCAGCAACACCTACTCTGACTGGCAGCGGCTCTGCAGGGTCTTGGGCAGAGGAGGTTCCTGTGGTTTGCAGGTGGGTCTCTCCTGGCTGTACAGAAATACGGCTGGTTGTGATGAGGAGCAGGGCTGTTTCCTGCTTTGCAGAATGAGACCCCCGTGGAGACTAGGCACACACCAAGGGGGGACTGCTTCTACCAACAGCTCCCAGTTTACCTTGGTGTTTTTCACCTGTCAATACTGAAGATGGTTTAGTTCTGTCTGCTGCAGTTTATTTTTATTAATTCCTATTACAATTATTATGCTGCATGTGGCAGGAGAGGATGGCAAGTGTGGCAGGAAGATTCAAGTATGATCCAAGAAAAAATTAATCATTTCCGTATAGTTTAGCATACTATGGTGGGTTTTTTTAACAGAACGTGGAAAGGTATCTTTTCAAAATGAGAACCAAGAGCATCAAGTGATATACTGAAGACAATCCTAGTTGTTCTTTCCAATGCATTTCTTTTCAATTAAAATTTTGGTGTCATGCGAGCAAATTTTTATTTTGAAAGTGTAGCCCGGAGGAAGAAAAAAGTGCCACTGGATCGTAGGTGGGCCGTGTGCTTTTGTGATCCCATCTGCATGTGGGTTTTGCACAAGTGCCTGGCTGGCCACTGGACTAGATGGGTCATTGGCCTAATTCAGCAGGGTCCTTAAGTTTTGTAGTAATTTTAGCAAATGTTGTATATACTGTGAACCCTTTGAGATTTTACAAACTGAGAAGAGGTCCATATATTTTATTAAATAGGAAACAATCAGTGAACGATCTTTCCCATCACTCGCTACCCAACTCTTAACTGGAGATGCCAGCGACTGAACCTGGAAACTTTTGCATGTGAAGTGGATGCTCTGCCACAGGGATGCTGCTGCCCCCTGAATCGCACTTCCAGAGACTGGGACCAATCCATCTACAGTGGTACCTCGGGTTAAGAACTTAATTCGTTCTGGAGGTCCGTTCTTAACCTGAAACTGTTCTTAACCTGAGGTACCACTTTAGCTAATGGGGCCTCCTGTTGCTGCCGCCACGCAATTTCTGTTCTCATCCTGAAGCAAAGTTCTTAACCCAAGGTACTATTTCTGGGTTAGCGGAGTCTGTAACCTGAAGCGTCTGTAATCCGAGGTACCACTGTACGTGCAAAGGAGATGCTCTCCCACGGAGCTCTCATCCTTCCCCATTCTATGCACACCTACCTGGGAGTAAAGTGGGACTGCTTCAGATGCCTTCAGGCTATCCTCTGAGACTCATGGGCACCACCAGGGCTGGGGAAAAGGCATTAGTGCCATTCAGAATTAATATCGCTGGCACCAGTCTATCTCGAGAGACAATGGAGTGCATCTTCAGGGGTGAAGTCAAACTGCTGGAGAATCACAGCGCCTGCTGTGGTTGCAGAGACCATTCAAACACAACTGCTGCCTCCCATTTTGTTAATGCTGCGTTAACAGCATCAAAGTGACCCTGCACAGTGCACAAGCCTGAGCAGTGTGGATGGAGGTCCTGGGCTGCTCAGACGACAAGATCCCCCTCTTAGCCTCACTGATGTTGTCCAAAGGAAAGCAGAGCAAGACGTTGGTTGCAGGAGTTGCTGGAAGGAGGCATACAAAGCACCATCCAACTGTCTTAGGGACTCCACTCCAGATTTATGAAGGGTTTACTCCTTAGCCTTTTCTTCCCCCGAAGATACCCCACAAGGCAGCGGAGGTTTAGGATCAGAGTTTTCCTTCGCAGGCTGACAAACCCCATCTGCCCCTCACTTCCATCTACAGCACAAACGACCCTGAACAAACCAGAAGGAGTACAACATGCCCCCCACTGGAGGTACTACTACTCCCTTTACACCCCAAATACCCTTAAGAATGAATGAATGAATAAATAAATCACTTAGCTACCTCATTTGATGTTTGCAGCACAGGCTGAGGATGATTTAGGACCAGGCTTTCTACGGGTGAATCGGTTTTCTTAGTAGCACAATCTTGGGAAGAAGAAGGTGTCCCATCTAAAGAAGACTGGCAAATTAAACTAATGGAATACGCTGAAATGGCAAAATTGACAATGAAATTAAGAGGAAGAGAGAATAATGAATTTAAGGAAGAATGGAAGATGTTTATTGCATATACAGTGGTAGCTCGGGTTACAGATGCTTCAGGTTACAGACTCCGCTAACCCAGAAATAGTACCTCGGGTTAAGAACTTTGCTTCAGGATGAGAACAGAAATCGCGCAGCGGCGGCGCGGCAGCAGCAGGAGGCCCCATTAGCAAAAGTGGTGCTTCGGGTTAAGAACAGACCTCCGGAATGAATTACGTACGTAACCAGAGGTACCACTGTATACAGTTGTGATGTACACAGGTTAGTACACAGGTTAATACATTAGCAGGGTTTTAAGATTACTTGTAATTTATGATTAATGGATAATCGGTGATTTAAATATGTTACAAATTTAACAATGGACATGCAGTATCTTAATAAGAGAACCAAGGAAGGGATTAGAGGGAAGTCAATTTGTTTTGTTTTGGCATTGTTTTTTATTTTTGTTATTTTTGGAAAATCAATAAAATGTTATATATAAAAAAAATGGTTTTCTTTGCAATACTTTTCTCTTTTTCTTTGCCAACTCCTACAAAATGAAGCATTTTAAATATTGCTGGCACCAAGCATATACAGCAGCTGTCCTCAACTTGCTGCCCTCCAGGTGTTGTCTGACTACAACTCCCATCAGCCCCCAGCCAGCTGTATAACATACATGGGCCTCAGCCCTGTGTACCTGAAGGAGCGTCTCCACCCCCATTGTTCAGCTCGGACCCTGAGGTCCAGCTCCGAGGGTCTTCTGGCAGTTCCCTCACTGACAGCTTACAGGGAACCAGACAAGAGGGCCTTCTCAGTAGTGGCACCCACTCTGTAGGATGCCATCCCGTCAGATGTCAGGGAGATGAATAACTATACAATCTTAGAAGATGTCTGAAGGCAGCCCTGTACTGGGAAACTTTTTAATGTTTGATGTTTCACTGTGTTTTTATTTATGTTGGAAGCTGCCCAGAGTGGCTGGGGCAACCCAGTCAGATAAAGTAAAGGTAAAGGGACCCTTGATCGCTAGGTCCAGTCGCAAACGACTCTGAGGTTGCGGCGTTGATCTCGCTTTACTGGCCGAGGGAGCCGGTGAACATCTTCCGGGTCATGTGGCCAGCATGACTAAGCCGCTTCTGGTGAACCAGAGCAGCGCACGGAAACACTGTTTACCTTCCCACCGGAGCGGTACCTATTTATCTACTTGCACTTTGATGTGCTTTTGAACTGCGGGAGCTCACCCTGTCGCAGGGATTCAAACCGCCAACCTTCTGATCGGCAAGCCCAAGAGGCTCAGTGGTTTAGACCACAGCGCCACCCGCGTCAGAAGGGTGCAGTACAAATAATAAAATTATTATTACTACTTAGCAGAATCAGCTGTATGTTCAAGTCCACCATTGCAGCAACAACAACAAAGGCAGGAAACCAATAGTGCCAGTCACATTCCACCACAGCAACAGCTTCAACTCACCAGAAAACTAAAGTATATATGTATCAATTAAATGCAGGGCTATACTGCTGCTCCGCAAGATATTGCTTATGTAGTTTTACATTTCCCATTTAGTTCTGGGCACTGCGTGTGGAAAAGTCATTTATACATTTCAAACATCGCCAATACATTAACATGGATATGAAAGCACGCACTTTCCTCACCTTTGTTGCTGTCATCTCCATCATCAGTCAAATCAATAAATAATGGGTCCTGCAATTAAGAGAATTCAAATCGTTTAAGCATAAGAACCTCAGCAGAGACTGCTGGATCAAGCCAAAGGCTCACCTAGTCCAGCATCCTGTTCTCACACAGCGACCAACCAAACATATGTAGAAAATTCTCAAGCAGGGCCTGAGCACAAATGCACCCCCCCCCGTGGTTTCTAGCAAACAGTATTCAGAACATTGCTGCCTCCAGCTGCCCACCTGCAATTCCCAGCAGTTGGTATTCTGACACTGGAACGTTGCACCAATGGCTATTAGCCATGGTGGCTAATAAAGTACAGTGGTACCTTGATTCTCAAACTTAATCTGTTCCGGAAGTCTGTTCCAAAACCAAAGTGTTCCAAAACCAAGGCACACTTTCCCTGAGAAAGTAAATGCAGAACAGATTAATCTGTTCCGGACTTTTAAAAACAACTCCTAAAACAGCAATTTAACACGAATTTTACTATCTAACGAGACTATGGATCCATAAAACGAAAGCAATAAACAATGTACTGCAGTCACACAATCCATCAGTAGCTGAACAGGGTTCCACACACACACACACACACACACACACACAGCGCCACAAAAACGCAAAATAAATAGCAAAAACAGACAGACCGCAGCGTAACACTCCAAACGGAAGCATAACACTTAAAATGGAGCATGTTTGGCTTCTGAAGAAAGTTTATGAACTGGAAGACTTACTTCCGGGTTTGCAGTGTTTGGGTTCCAAGTTGCTTGGGTACCAAGGCGTTTGAGAACCAAGGTACCACTGTACTACAACTAATTTTAAAAATGTGCTGCCAAAAATTGGGACAAGGGGCTCGTCCCTGCCGAAAACTAGTTAGAAGTTTCTCAGGATTGGTCCTGGTCTTTAATAGGACTGGGGAGCCTGATGGCTGAATGCTTCCCTCCAGTGTTGTTTGGCTCTTAGACATTTTCCCCAGGCCTCTCCCTCTGTGCTCCCGCTCAAATGTTTTCGCCTGGCTGGTGTAGGTCCTTGAACTCTGATCATGGCTCCCACTTGCTTGGATGGAGGATGAATGGAGACTGGGGTGAGGGCATAGGAACAGCTTACAGTGGTGCCTCGCAAGACGAAAATAATCTGTTCCGCGAGTCTCTTCGTCTAGCGGTTTTTTCGTCTTGCGAAGCAACCCTATTAGCAGCTTAGCGGATTAGCGCTATTAGCAGCTAAAAGGCTATTAGCGGCTTAGCGGCTTAGAAAAAAGGGGGGAAAGCGGGGAAAAATCGCAAGACTCGCAAGACGTTTTCGTCTTGCGAAGCAAGCCCATAGGGAAAATAGTCTTGCGAAGCAACTCAAAAACGGAAAACCCTTTCGTCTAGCGGGTTTTTCATCTTGCGAGGCATTCGTCTTGCGGGGCACCACTGTACTTCTGTAAGCCATTGGAAAGCAACTTGCCGAACTGTTCCAGCATACTTCCTACTATATGTTCCTAAAGCAAACCAAACTGTATGATTCTATGATAAAACAAGCTGTTCATATTCTAGATTTAAGGTAGTACATTGCCACTGATCAAGATTCCCATGGTAACGTTCGCCTACTGTAAATTCCTTTGGGACTGAAGCTGGCGCAGATGGGCAGGCAAGTGTTTCAAATGAGGCCAGGCCAATTTACCTTGCAGAGCAAGATTCGGAGGGTTCCATCTCTTAAGGGGGTCCCCAAATTCAGTATAACTGGGCACACTTTGATCATGTGGCAAGGCCCAAAATGTCACAGCCACAGATGATGTGGATGACACATTTATTTATTGCGCTTAACCCCCCCCGAAACACACTTTAAAGTCATTCATCATTCAAATCCGTTCATTATAGGATGGGGGAAAGGAATAAAATCCTAGTTGCACCAGAGAAGAGAATCTTAAAGAATACTTGGTATATGGAGCAAACTTATTTTCTGCTTCTCCGAGGGCAGGTGCCAAACCAATGGTTTTGAATTACAAGAACAGAGATTCTGACTAACTTAGGAAGTCATTTCTGATGGCAAGAGCTGTTTGAACGTGGAATGGACTACCTTGGAAGGGGGTGGACCTTTGGGGGGACTAGATGACCCTTGGGGTCTCTTCCCACTCTAAAATTCTATGGGGGTGGGGTGGGGGAAGAGATGTTAAAGCTGACCTTAGAGCTGCATGGAGTTTCAGCTGAAGTAGAGGCATTTACAGAAGTTTCTTTCTGCTGAACACCTAAGGGAATTTGAAAGAAGTGAAAATTTTAAAACGCTTGAACTCGTCTGACAAAAGATCATGGCTTCCCTCTGCAGGAGCTGTTGCAAGCATATAAAGGAATACCTGTTGCCCACTCAAATGTGTCCAAGAATCGACGGACACAGCAGTGGAGAAAAAGAAGGCAAAGTTTATTGCTGAGCAATAAAGACCCAGTGGAATACTTTCCAGAGCCTCGGTACCCGAGAGCCTTGGGCTTTGGGTTTATATACCTGATTACAAACAGCGTTAGGCATTACATATTGCAGCAAAATCAAGCCAATGAGCGGGGCAAAGCCCTTCCTATGCCCATGTAGAGAATAGTTCTGCTTTTCCAATATTGTGCATCATGATGCCCTTTACCCTAATTTTCAGCTATAAAGAGAAAAAGAAACATATTTGACCGTTGAAGCTTGAGTAACCCTGCCATCTTTTATTGGCTAGAACATTGCATTCTGTGGCCGACTTCTCTTTCCCGTTTCCTCCATCTCACCCTCCATCTCGTGAGCATGAGAAACAATCTGGGGAAGGTTCCCTATCGGAAATGCCAACACATCAGATTTATTGTTTCCTTCAAGCACAATAGCAGGGCAGAGAGAAGTAGGGCAAAGGGAAACTTTGCATTCCTGAGATTTAGGCACTTCTAGCCCTACTGAAGCCTTAGTGATTTAAGCATCATTAGGATACATGGATATATAAAAATCATCATTTCGATATATGGTTATATAGAAATCATAAAGATAGAATTCTTCCAGGTGGCCTTGCCACAGAGCCTTCACCAATCTGCTAAATTGGATGTGGAATGGGCAATCAGATTTGCAACAATGGAAGAGTGCACCATCCAGATAAAGTCAAACCGTTGGAGAGCTACAGTGCCGGCTTTGTCTGTAGAGACCAATATAGGAGAAACGAGCTTTACTGCAGGTGGGGCAGATGAAGGCATCTGGTTTTGCAGATGTACCATGACGTGTCTTCTTTCTGACCTCAATCACGTATTGCCAAACTCTGGCATCAAATTATGTCCAAATGAATCTGCAATTTTGCCCAGGAGCTGCCTGCCAAGTTTGACAGCCAAGCTGAGTCAAAGGATTAATTCGGTTGACGAGGCAATCAATGGGACTTACACTCTTACAAGTACCATGTAATTCTACAATTCTATATAAAAAAATTCCTTCCAGTAGCACCTTAAAGACCAACTAACTCTACAATTCTATGAAAGAGTATTATTCTGCCTCTCGAACTATGCTAATTGTCCTTTGCAGATGGTGTGCATATATAACACATACCTAATAATCAGCTGCGAAACAAGACTCATACTGTTGAAAAGTTTCTTTTAAAATAGGGGAAAGGAGAATTTAGTTTCATGTACCTGTAGGATTCACTGTTCCCACGTCTGAGCTTTCTTTCCCCCCAGAAAGGCATATAATGTCTTCGGAGCTGATTAAAAAAAGAATGCAAAATAGATTGTGCAGAAATGTAAAAGAACCCAGCCCCTCCACTTAAGGCAACAAAGTCTTACTTGTGAAATGAATAATGGGGGAAGTAGGCGTTATAGCACGTGTGTTGCTAAATGCAGAGAGCAGCAATGTAAGCCTGCTTTTCATGGACCAATACTTGCACTTCCCAAGCATGCAGCAAATGAACAAGGCCAGCTGCCATGCTGGTGGGGAGACTTACCTTTCTGTGTTTTTAGGGATAGCTTTGTTAAGATTGGATGGCTTCTCTTTTGACGGTGCTGGCATGCTGTTTGCATTGCCATGCTGAGGGCTGGGGCAATTTATTATTTCAATTTGCAAAGGTGGTCTTGTAGGGAGGGCCTGGGAAGGAAAGAGAAAAAAATAACTTGTACACTGTGCTATTCCACATATTCCAGTATGAATAATCAGGCTCCTTCATAAAGGAAGCATCTTCTTCTTGCTGGTATTAAAGCCGGTGTAACTGTTGTGTTCTCTCACATGCTGACTAAAGTTTATTTCTGTTCCCCATCAGTAAACATCTGGGTCCCACTGTCAAGAAGTTTTTCCTGATGCTCACCTGAAACTTTTGACTTAAACCCATTAGATCATGGGTCCCCACAGACCACTGCTTCATTCAGTTTGTCTGTGAAGAACATTGGGAACTGCGGCTGTGAAAGCAGACACAGGAGCTGCTCTCCACTGTTCTTAAAACCTGGCTGTCTAAAGATGGAAAGATAAAGCCTTACCCCACCACAAAAAATAAATAAAGGCTTTGTTGTTGTCATCTGCTGCACTGCTAGTTTCCCTAGAAGGTAACTCGACCCCTTCACATTTTAAAATTCCAACCTCTCTGCAGTGGCTTGTCAGGCACTCTGTTAGGAAGTGAAGCCAGAACTACTTTTTAAAGGCGCAGAATCCATTGCACAATATGCACGAGCCACAAAATCTTCTCCTCTCACCGATTTTGGAGGTAGGCAGAAGGGGCCACATGAGATTCCCTTCTGCACACCTAACCAGTCATACTCAAACACATGTGGTATTACAGTGCGTGCATATGACTGTGTTGCACTGGCCACCTTGAAGCACTGCAGCAATTTCTGAGATCAAGGGAATTAAGACACTGGGCAAATGGCTTAGCAATAGTTGTTTCTGTCAATGACGGAGTGTTGTAGTATAATATAGTGCTGTAGCATGCAGGGCCTTACTTTTCTAGATGATTCTCTCTTCTGGCTTGTTATTACAGCATCAATGCGTCTGTCAAGCCTAGAGATTTTCTTCTGCAAGAGAAAGAGAAAGAGAGAGAAGAGCTTACATTGGCCTGCAGAAAAACTTTAGAACAAGGGGAGCAACATTCACAGTTGCACTGAAGCAACTCTAAATATCTGGAGCTAAGGGTTTGACTAGTAGGCTCAAGGATGTACTTCTAACACCATTTGTGTTTTTGCAATGACCAATGGCTTCTAAAAAATCTGACGGAATGTCCGAGTTGCTACTTCCCCTTTTCCTAGTGTCTGAAAAGGAATCCCACCACCAAACTGCTTGCGCCAACTGCAAGTCTATCATCCCTTCCTCTCACCCCTTTTATGGCAACCACAAAGAGACTCTGCTACCCTCTTTGCCATACAAAAAGGTTTATTTGCACACCTTGATCTCCGTTCCTCCTTAGTGTTGCTTCCCTGACTTACTGCTCCCTTCTCTGCCTTACTTCTTTAACCCTCTGCTCCTGAACTGCCCACTCCTAAAACTCCCTCCCCCTTAAGTCCTCTTTCCATCCCTCAGCCACCCTGCCAGGCCAGCACCCTTTCCTGTGCCACTTTAACATGCCAAGTAGAGGGTGTCAGCTGCATGCAAGGTGTCAGACATTTGTACACCATGGGTTAAACTGACAAGTCTAGCAGCAGCCAGCAGTGGGATCTCTACAATACGTGACTTATGGGCCATATTTCTATATACAGATATATAACGTGCTGGCTCCAGGTTTTGCAGGGGCCCTTGGCAAGATGTGCCCTCCTCTTCTGCCTTGCTCCTGCCACTGAATGCTCAGAGAAGGCAGAGGGACAGGCAGTGGCAACAGGGAGGAAAAGCAGAGCCAGAGGTTATCGAAGAACCTCTCGTCGGGATATGGGCCTTGGCAAATGCCTGATAACACCAGCTTCTGATACCAGCCTCTTAGAGACACGACAGGCTCCAGTGAAGTAAAATTAAAAACCTGCTTGTGCATATGTACAAGTTTGTGTCCTATAATTTTAATGTATTAAACCATGACTGACAGACAAGGCTTTTAAAATGGAACATTGCCTTACTACAATTTTAATAGCTATCGCTTCATGCTTCCGGAGGCACTGCGTGTGGTCGATTCTTTGCTTTAGAAGTTCGAGTCTGTGATCCAAGGTTTTCACTGACTTGTCCAGCTGACTTTGAATGAAGCATTTGACCTACAATGGGGGGGGGGGGACAACACATATAAGCATGCACCCTTTAAATCAAGAAATTCTTAGAAAGTGGGAAGTTTTAAAAGCTCTAACTCAACGCACAGCACCTTTTGCATGGCAGTAAGCAACAAGTCCAACACAAATAAAACTTTTTCCTGCAACACCTTCCTTTGATCACCCCGAACCACAGCTTCACGGGCATCCAACATGCACCCAGGCCGGGATCCAAAGAGCCATGCAACAAACTCCATGCACCCGGGTTGCTTGAATACATGGAATACTTTTTTTAAAAAATGATGCGTACGTAAATCCAGGTCAAGCTGCCTGCCCAAAGTCATGTGCAAAAGTCCTTGTGGATTTTGATTAACTGAAGCGGTTCATTAGCATCACATCATCCTTAGCATAAAACAAACACAATAAAAAAAAATTAAAAATAAAGCTGCAGATAATCATTAAGGTGAGACTGGCTGATCAAACAAACAAACAAACAAACTTAAAACTGTGATAAAGGCCTGCCAGCTTAAATATGTCTGAAAGTCAAAAGCGAGGGTACCTGCAAAATCTCTGCTGAAAGCGTGTTCCACACCATGTAATTGAAGAGGCTAAAACGCAGGTGCCTCAAGCAGCTATTTGGATTTGGGCTAAGGACTTCTGTATGAATAGACACCCTCCTCTGCCACACAGGAGGGTGTAGATGCAGCTGTCCCCCCCCCCCCCGAAATAACTGGGGAAATTCTTGTCCAGGATCAGGTAGAGGCAGAGTTCTTAATGTACAGTCCAATGCCAACAACAGCGTATACCCAGGCACTGTTATCCTTTAAAAAGAAGCACTGAAAATTACGCCTGGTCCTTTCCCAATCAAGGGAAAGGCGTGTTGGAAGTCCCAGTGAAGTGTTCCAGTTTTCAAATGTTTTTTGGAAGCCGAACGTCCGGTGCGGCAGTCAACTATTGTTTCCGGGGTGCCTGCACCAATCAGAAGCTGAGCCTTGGTTTTTGAACATTTCGGAAGTCAAATGGACTCCCGGAATGGATTAAGTTAAAGAACCAAGGTACCATTGTATTTGGCAGTTCTGGTTTTGCTATTTTGCGTTTTTGAGGCTTTTTCGGTTCATTTGTTTTTGTGACTGTGTGGAACCCAGTTCAGCTGATTGATTGATTGTGTGACTGCAGAAATGGATAATAATAAATTAATTTTATTTATACCCCGCCCTCCCCGGCCAGAGCCGGGCTCAGGGCGGCTAACACTAGTAAAATTACAATAAAAACATAATGGGGGGAGGGGGGCCAATTTAAAATACAGGTTAAAATGCAATTTAAAATGCAGTCTCATTTTAAAAGTAGACCATAGATCAAAACCGTAAGGGGAGGGAAAACATAAGGGTCAGACTGAGTTCAAACCAAAGGCCAGGCGGAACAGCTCTATCTTATAGGCCCTCCAAACAATGACTATCATCAGTGCAAGTAAGATTTTTTTTTAAGTTTACAGTATTTTTATCTATAATACTTTCTTATTTTATAGTATAGTACATCAATTATTGTTTTCATTTTATGGATCTATCTGTTTTGTATTACTTTCTATGGGAAAGCGCACCTTGGCTTTGGAATGCTTTGGTTTTGGAACGGATTAAGAACCAAGGTACCACTGTACATAATTCAAGGCATCTATATAGCATTCAGAATACATGCTCTCATGCCCTTATCATCTCTGCAATATTCATGGACTCTTTACCTGGCCTTCCAACTGGACACCCCATATTTGGAGTTGTTTACCTAAAACTCCCTTTATCTTATCAAGTTGTCAATCATCTTCCACTGGCTCTGGTCAGTCTCTAATTGACATGGTATCAGCCTATAAGCTCTGTTACTGGGGTCTAGGAGAGCTATGTGCCCTCTTTGCTTATTACTGATGGTGCTGCTTTGGTTAACTGAAAAGCAAAAGAATAAGAGGAACAGAAATACAGAGAAAAGCATACAATGCAGAAAGGCACATTCTGAACTGGACTACAGCATTTCCCTGTGCATTTCAGTGGGAAAGGGCCATAGTTCAGTGATAACAACTTTGCTTTGGGCAAATGAAAACACCTCTTTACTGGAGATGTGCGTTTTCAGAACCCACCACATTCTTGTGACTGTAATGTGCTTTAACTATTCTTAATTGTGTGGGACCTGATGGTGAAGGGCAGGGAATAAATTCAATTAATAATAATAATAGTAATGCCTACTAGAAATACTTGGTAGCCCCTGGATCAGACAGCAAAATAAAACATTGATTAAAGAGTTTTAGTTAAGAAATAAAAATCATTTGTTACTCATTATGAGCCTTCAGAACGGAACAGGCTAGAAACGGAGGGAATTGGCTGCATCCAGGACTAGAACTGGGAAGGCAGCCCTGATGCAAAGCTTAAGTTTGGTGGGAGAGTCCCAACCCCAATTTACACAGCAACATCACTGCCATGTGCAGCATTAGCTTTGGACTTGTCCAGCCCCAGGAGGGCTTGAAGTGAGCTATCGAAACAAAAATAGCAGCAGTTACGCAAGGCTGAAATGAACAACTCAAAACTATCAAGACATTTCAGTCCCGCCATTTTTTAAAAAAAAAATCAGTCCAAGAGCACACTTAGGATGACCAGAACAGCACAAGCCACACACCCAGAACAGTTTTCCATTCTCAACCCTGCTTTAATTTCATTATTTCAGCACAACTGCAGTGACTTCTCATACAAGGCAACTCACCTGTTCCAATGCAATATGTCTTTTCTCAGAGCTTTTGTCGCCAACCTTTCTGGCTTCATCGGATTTCTTGATGCATTTGGAAAAGATGCCTTCATTAGTTTCTGAAATTCTCCTTTTCCTCGGAGCCCCATCTTTGAGGAGACAGAAGGGATTCCCTAAGAAATCTGGAAAACATTGCTACTACCAATACAACATTTATATACCACTTTTTCTGTCCAAGGAGTACATGGTTCTCCCCCTCCCCATTTTATCCTCATAACAACACTATGTAGGTTAAGCCGAGGGACAGCAACTGACCCAAGTGAGCTTTAAAGTCTGGTCTCACAGGTCCTAATCAGACAATCTAACCACTATTATCACATCAGCAATGCACTGCAACAGATTTTTGTGAAGCCGAATCAGTACTGCAATAAGTTTTTCGCTCTAGTTTTTGAAGAAGTAGGCAACTTTTGCAGTAAGTTATATTTTTAAAAATCCCATACAAGCCAAGAGCAAACACCTACCCACCCCCCTGAAAGCTTTGGAGCAGAGTTATGTAAGAAGGGTTCAAATTTTAAAGAAGGCTGCAGTTTTCTAGTTTCTGCAGAAATGAACGGGGCCTGAAATGGTACTGTGATCTCAGTCACGCCAACACTCTGAAGTTAAGCAACTGTGTCATTTCACTTGATTAAAATGAACTGCACAGTGTCTTCTGCAACCGCCTCAAACTAGCATCACACTCACTCTTGGAAAGAGGCAACAGGAGGGAAATTTCGCAAGTGGCCACCATTTAGCAACAAAATCTGGTCTTCTAAAGCTTAAGCAACGATTTCTTGAGCTGTATTCCATGTGAATAGTGAGCATTGTGGACAGGAAGTGGTTATGGTGACATAAGGCAGCCTTCATGGTTTTCCCCACACTGATTTTTCCATAGCGCACACACCGTGATGCATAATGTATTGTCAGGTCAAAAACTATGAAGCCAGTATCACAATATGGACTTCAAGCCGGTTTTGGATGATATATCACCTAGCCCTATATCCGTAATGAGATAAGACAGGCGTCCATTATCTGCACCTTCTGGAACAACCAAAGACATTTTTGTTCTAACGATTCTCCCAGCTGGATGAATGAGTCTCTGTTATGAGTATCCTATTTGGTATTCCACCCCCCCCCCCATTTCAAATTTATCTACCGTTCTTTGTGTTTAGCTCTTTTGGTTACATTTACTCTACATTGCCCTGAGAGGACACACTATCTTAATGATTGTAAAAACAATAACTTAAAAAAATGATTACCTGGCCGAACTGAAGAATTTGTATTTTTCTCAAGCAATTGGAATCTGTCACCTTCCTGTTCCAATACTGGCATGGTTTGCTTAACAAGTGGTTCATCTTTTATTTCGGTTACCTTTTCTAAGGCAGGGATCTTGCGCATCGGAGAAGTCACTGAAAGCTCATGTTCCGATTGGCCAGAAAGCTGGGCAAGCGGCTCAGAGTTCAAGTGTACTTCCACCGGCTTATGTGATGAGGAACTGGGTTCTTTTTGAAGGTAATAATACAGTAGATCCTGTAAGGCTCCAGCATTCAGAAATTGCTCCAAATCAGAGTCTTCAGTGCAAACCTTGTAGGGAAGATCTTGGGATCCTTCACGACTACTGTTATAAATACTGATTTCAGAATTAACAACTAAATTGGTTACGGGCTCCCTTAATGTTGGAGGGTGCAACAGAGTTTCCTTTGATTTCGGTTGAAGGTTAGGTTCTTTCAGAGAGTTCTGACTTAAGCCACTTGTTTCAGCCCTTTTTAAGTGGACATGATTATCCACAACGGAGGTACTATTTGCCAATTTTTCTGCTGCTTGGACAGCCTTCATTTCAGAATTAACAACTAAATTGGTTATGGACTCCTTTAATGTTGGAGGGTGCAACAGAGTTTCCTTTGATTTCGGTTGAAGGTTAGGTTCTTTCAGAGAGTTCTGACTTAAGCCACTTGTTTCAGCCCTTTTTAAATGAACATGATTATACACAACGGAGGTACTATTTGCCATTTTTTCTGCTGCTTGGACAGCCTTCATTTCACGCAGCATCTTCACTTGCTTTCGGGCGCTTGGAGTCATCGTCTTTTTGGCACGCCAGGGCTTTTTGACATCCATGTTTGGATTAATTTCTTGCACCCTAAAACACAATAATTACATCTTATGAGTCGAGATCAAACATTATTTTCCTTAAGATGCTAATTAAAGTTTGAATCAGTTAACCTACATTTAATTTAAACCTACACCAGATTTAAATGCAGTCAGTTCAATATATCAGAGGCCTGTGTGCACACCACACACTATTATTAATCACAGAACTGTAGAGTTGCAAGCGACTCCAAGGGTCATCTAATACACAACCCCTTGGAATGCAGGAATCTCGGCTAAAGCATTCATGACAAATGGCCATCCAACCTCTGCTTAAAAACCTCCAAGGAAGCAGAGTCTGCAACTTCCCAAGTCCGTTCCACTGTTGAAAAAGTCTTACTGTCAAAAAGTTCTTCCTGATGTTTAGTCGGAATCTCCTTTCTTGTAACTTGAAGCCATTATTACGGGTCCTACTCTCTGAAGCAGGAGAAAACAAGCTTGCTCCAATGTTTCATTCAACAGCCTTTTCGGTATTTGAAGAGGGCTATCATATCTCCTTCTCAGTCTCCTTTCCCAGGCTAGACATACCCAAATTCCCTCAACCGTTCCTTGTAAGGCTTGCTATCCAGACCCTTGATCATCTTGGTTGCCCTTGTAAGAATTGGGTACTTTGTGGCTTATGTGAAAAAGAAACATCCTCATTTCTCACACCATCCTCCACAAGCGTTTCAGCTCATCAATATGCTTCTTAAAACCAAGGTGCCCATAACTGGAAACTTGCCATTACATCTGAACCCAGGCTCATGCTAGTTTCCTCAAACCATGAGCAGTATGCCAAGAACAAATCATGGTTACCACTTATGCTTTAACTTGCCTTTTTGGACATTTATCTTGGTTGGGTTTTTTTAAAGTTTGGAGCTATTTGATGGATGTTTATACAGTGGTACCTCCGTTTCCGAACTTAATTCGTTCCAGAAGTCCATTCTTACACCGAAAGTGTTCTTAAACTGAGGTGTGCTTACCCCAGTGAGGCCTCCCACCACCGGTCGGCTTCTGTCTTCCGGGGCAAAGTTCGCTAGCCAGAACACATACTTCCGGTCTTGTGGAGTGCGTTGCCTGAATTGTTCGTTAACAGGACTGTTTTTAGACCGAGGTACCACTGTATATACGGAATTAATACTATGTTTTGCAGGTGTTCCTTGTTGGTTACTTGTGGGAGTCACTTGGTAGTTCACCACACCTCAGAGCATGCAGAGCCGCAGCAGAGTCTTCAGAGATATCCTTCTCCTGCAAAACAGCTTCTTCCAGAGTCCCCAGTTAAGGGGAAATCTCATCTCCAAGGCAGTTCAAAGTAACAAAATGTTTCTTGTCTCCGACACAAGACAAATCTAAACACTACTGCCTACTATAAACAGTTCTTCTGGTCTCTGAAGATACATATATATACAGAGATACATCGTCACCATGCTAGCTAATGCTGCTATGCAAAATCCCGACATGCAAACAGGACATCATGAAAGCAGTGCTCTTGAAATTATTAGATCTGTCTCTATTTTTCCTGAAACAATGGGAGGATGAATGACTCAGCAAGTCATACACTCAACCCTGATGGTGTTGCTATGGTAACTCAGTGCACCTGGCACCTTATCTCTGAACATCCAGACTTTTTGGGAGGTGGGTGCTCCTCAAGACATGAGCCCAAGAACTGTGTAATTTAACCCACTGTTTGCATTATACCAACATTCCTATTACGTCTCTTTTATAGAAATCCCCTGAAAGTACCCTGAAGGTAACACATTGGTCCGCTAAGAAAAACTAAGTCACCATTAAGTTACCAGCATCTTGAGAAGTGGACTCCCTTATTCGGCAATTCATTTCGTGGCTTCTGTGTTTCATATGTTAATATTGACTTCAGCTTGTGGGTTGAACAGACCAAGTAATTGGGAATGGGAATTCAGGCCACACGAAAGAGAACTGATACAACTCTACAAGAAGGCATCTGGAGAGGGCACATATCCCTCTCTGCCCATAAATCCACTTTGCCAACAATTCCCCAACTGAGTGCCTGTCGGATGTTGTTGAATTACAATTCCCACCGTGCTCTTAGCCAATGCTTGGCCTAATGTCTTGTCAAAGGCAAGGGGGTTCTTTTTCTTCAGGGGTTCAAAAGCAAACGCAAGACACACAAGTGGTGAGAAAGTCTAAGGTTTATTAAACAGCAGGCAACCTATGCAGAAGTACAACATCATACCCAGAGAACAGATGGCACCCGCTTCGATTCAGCTTCCAGGAGCTCCAGAGACAAAAGCCAAGAGAAAGACCCCAGTCTAGCCAATCCAACAGCATTGCTGTTCCTGGTTTGTGTTGAGGCTCAAATTCTGGGTCAAATTCTAGAGGTTTATATGCATTAGGCGCAATTGCAAAATCCAATTGCCAAATTAATCACACCAGACATTAAGATCCCACGGTTTGGGCTGCATGCCTAAAATGCATTTAATCCTGGAGTCCTCCCAATATATTACAGCCGCGTTATCTCTAAACAAGGGAGGCCCATGCCTCTGCCATGCAAGCTCGGCAGCTAGGAGAGGCTTCCGTTAGGAATTCAGGTCGGGCAAATATAAGCAACTGTCAGGCCTGAGGCAGAAAGAGGGGTTGTCTGTTTTTCTAACAGCCTTCATTTAACAGTGATATGAAGGATTAATAGCGCCAGGCCAACTACACTTCGAGTTACAGTGGTGCCTCGCAAGACGAAATTAATTCGTTCCGCGAGTTTTTTCGTCTTGCAATTTTTTTTGTCTTGCGAAGCACGGTGTCAGGAAAGTTTTGGAAAAGCTTCAAAAATCACCAAAGTCTTCAAAAACCTCAAAAAAGGGGGGTGCTTGGGAGGGAGGGAGAGGCGGGCACGGGGCGTGGGGGGAGGCGGGGCGGAGGTTGCTACCTGAGCCCCCGGGATCGGTTCGGCTCACCTTGCTCCGACCCTTTGCACTACAGTCGGCGCCGTCTTGCTGCTGCTGTCGCCGCGGTAGTCAAAACTCCTACCGGCCTAAAAGTTGTCTGGTGCAAAATCCCTTCTGCAGCAGCAGCCCGAAAGAAAGCGAGAGAGCGCGAGCGGAGAGGGGCGCATCCAGCCCCAGCCAGCCAGCCCCGCCGGCTGCGGGCAGGAGGGAGGGAGGGTCAGCGATGGTGGATGCCTATTGCCCCTGTTGCTGCTGCAGCCGGCCAGCCAGCCAGAAGCGCGCGAGCGGCGCATCCAGCCCCAGCCAGCCAGCCGCCCGCCGCGGGCAGGAGGGAGGGAGCGTCAGCGACGGTGAATGCCTATTGCCCCTGTTCCTGCGGCCAGCCAGCCAAAAGTGCGCGAGCGGAGAGGGGCGCATCCAGCCCGTTGGAGAGGAGCGCGGGGGCGCGTCCCCTGTGGCTCCCAAGCTGACCTTGCCTCGCCCGGCGCCTTCCGCGCTGCCAAAGGGCGACTCACCTGCGGCCTGCGCTGCGCCAGGACTAACTCGAGCGGGGCGAGAACACACACTCGCGCACACACACACCGAGAGGCAAACTTGCCGCAGCCGTCGACGTCGCGGGGTTGGAAAGCGCGGAGATGCAGGTAGGGGGCGCCCCTCGCAGGGCGAGCGCCGGAGGGCCCGGGCAGGCGCTCTTGTCACCGCTGGGGCGGGGGGGAGAAGGAAGGAGCCCCGTCCGAAGAGCCCTGGAGCCTGGCCTCCCTAACTGGGAGTTGTGGGGAGGGAAGTGTGTGCGCCTTGCTATTTTTCGCCGAAACAAAGCTCCCTCTTCCTCAGAACCCGCCTTCACGCGTTCTTGCTCCTACGGAGACGCACACCGCGTGCTATGAGTTGCTCCTCGAAGTCAAGTCGCAACTGTATTAACGGTTTTAAGAAAAAGGAAACAAACTTGCAAGACGTTTCCGTCATGCGAAGCAAGCCCATAGGGAAAATTGTCTTGCGAAGCAACTCAAAAACGGAAAACCCTTTCGTCTTGCAGGTTTTCTGTCTCGCGAGGTACCACTGTACAATCCATCTTCCGGTATGCTTATGGAAGTCCCAAAACATGTAGGAGACTAACTAGGCTGCCCAACCCCTCCTGTACACTCTCCTAGAGGCCTTTACCATTAAGTAAACAAACAAACAAACAAACAAAAAAAGTATAAATGTTCACCACAACCAGGATAATTCTCAAACAATTCTGGCTCTCTGGTGGTGGCTGCCATTCAAATCTTTATTTCTCCACACTGCTATATCATAAAATATAAAGGTGGTGCACAATGTAAAAACATACTACCCCATGTTAAAAAATAAAACTACAGATAACCATTAAGGTGACTGGCTAATCAAAAATCAAAGCAGCAGCAAGGGCCTGTTGACATCAAAAGGACTTTAAGAGATGCCTGAAAGTCAACAGCTAGGATGCTTACTAAGTCTCTGGTGGAACAGCGTTCCACAGCACAGAACCAGCAAAAGTAAATTTATTTATTTACCTGCTTAATTGATAAGTGTAACCCCATAGCAGTACTCCTCTAGGAAGCCAGTGTGGTGCAGTGATTCGAGTGTGGAACTAGGAACTGGGAGATGAGGGTTCAAATCCCCACTTGTGAGATATAAAGATATGGGTCCCAATGCCCACTTAGTCAATAGATAAATACTGCCACCACCCAGACTTATAGACCAGTAGGGGTACAATTTCAAAACTTTAGCAACCAGGGCTTCTCAGGAACTGGAATGTGCCTTAGTACTTATCCTGCTTGCACATCCCTAATAAAAGAAATAAAAAGAAGTCTCTATACCAGAAGCCTCAGCAATCTAGAACACTGAATTTAGGACCACAGTCTTTTTCCATGAATTCACAGATTTTTACAGCAAGAGAAAACTATCGGGGAACAGCCACACAGATCCTGTAATCCAGTGGCTCCCAAACTCCTAGAGGCCTCTGACTCCTTGGTTTATAAACTCACCCCCAGTGCCCCTTAACCTACCCTACCCTATAAAAAGGATTACAGTGGCACCTTGGTTCTCAAACGCCTTAGTTCCCAAATGCCGAAAACCC